CCGGACGTGGTGGCGGGCGCTGTAGTCCAGCCTACTGGGGAGCTGAGGAGGCGAGAATGGCGTGAACCTGGGAGGCGGGAGTTGCAGTGATTCTGGAGATCCGGCCACTGCACTGCAGCCTGGGGACAAAGCGGGAGGGGTCCGCTCTCAAAAAAACAAAAAAAAGAAAAAAAAAAAAAACATTTTTTTTTGAGACAGTCTCGCTCTGTTGCCCAGGCTGGCATACAGTGACGCCATCTCCACTCACTGCAACCTCCACCCTCAAGGCTCACGCGATTCTCCTGCCTTAGCCTCCCAAGTACCTGGGGGCGTGAGTAGCTGGGATTACAGGCATGCACCACCACGCCTGGCTAATTTGTTATTTTTAGTAGAGACGGTGTTTCGCCATGTTAGCCAGGCTGGTCTCAAACTCCTGACCTCAAGTGATCCACCTGCCTTGGCCTCCCAAAAGTGTTGGAAGTACAGGCCTGAGCCACCATGTCTGGCCAAATGTTCCTTTTTCAAGCCTATACTGTCGCCAGTAAAGTTTTCTTACCAACCTGCAAGTGAACCACTTTCTAATTCTGGGGCTCCAGCACCTCACCCCGCAGTCAATGTGTGGTACGTCAGCAGCCATTCTAACAGGTATGCAGTGGGATCAGGTTTTTTTGTTTGTTTGAGACAGGGTCTCACTCTGTCACCCAGGCTGGAGTGCAGTGGTGAGATCCAGGCTCACTGCAACCTCCATCTCCTGGGTTCAAGCAATTCTCATGCCTCAGCCTCCCCAGTAGCTGGGACCACAGGCACCCACCACCACATTATGGCTAATTTTTTTTTTTTTTTTTAATATTTTTAGTAGGGGTTTCACCATGTTGTCCATGGCTGGTCTTGAACTCCTGACCTCAAGTGATCCACCTGCTTCCGCCTCCCAAAGTGCTGGGATTACAGGTGTGAGCCACCGCGCCTGGTCAGCCAGAGCAATTTCTTTTATTTTAAAGAAACATCGACTTTCACACCTAACTCTGATTTTGTAACTCGTATTACTTTTCTCAATGAGGGCCCTCCAAAAGCTTCAAGGTCTGCAGAACCTGAACGCTCCGGCCCTGCCTGGAACGTCTTCCTTGGCCCGTCCAGGCAGGTGCCTGAGTTCGCTGGTGACCTGGAAACTCCTCAGCCCCTGCCAAACACCTGGAAGGGAGGGCCCCACTGTCACCACGAAGTCAAGCTTCGGCTCAGAAACTCGTGAACGTGTAGCACCCGTTCAGGAAGGAGGTCCAGGCCACGGGCACAGACCCCGCTGCAGTGACCAAGAAGCCACAGGCATCACTCCACCCACAGTCTCGGCTGCTGGGACCCATGTGGCCAATGGGCAGGGAGCTCCTCTCAGCTGCCTGGCCCCAAAGCTCCGCCCTCCCTGCTGTGCCTGCAAGGAGCCGGGCTCAGGAGGGACTTTGGGACAAGCCGGCAAGTAGGTGGGGCTCCCAGTTTGACACAGGAAGTCTGCAAGTTTCTCGGCCGTATGGAACGTGGCCACTGATGCCAGCTTGGGCTTATCAGCCATTTTTGGATTCACTCTGCCCCTTGACCTGTGATAGCTTCAGTGAACTCAGAGAAGGGATGGGTCGAGGGGCGTCCCCGCAGGCATCGCCTCTGCCCTCCCTGAACTCTGGCAGGGCTCCAGGTGTGCAGCGTTCCACCCACAGGTCGCTGTTTACCAGCAGGCACAGAAGCTGTTCCAACAGCGACAATCCAAACAGCTTTACTGTGGCACGGCCACCACTCCCCTCTCACCTCCCCAGGGAAGGCCAGAGCCCACGTCAGCAGTGTGGAGGGAGTAAATCATTGACGCCTGGCGGGGCTGGGACTCAGGGCAGTCATGGGGGTATGGAGAGGTGGCTCGCCTGGACTCCGGGCCTGGCTCCCTCCCTGGCCTGTGAGTGCTGCCCTCACTCCTGGAAGCCTTGTCACTTCCCACACCATGAGGCTCTGCATGTCCCCAAAGGACGCCTGACTGCCGTCACACAGCAGAGCTGGCATGAGGGCCCCTGGTCTCCCACAGCCCCGGCCCTCGGGCTCCCCAGCTGCTCCATGGGCGTGCGTGGTCCCCTCATCCAGGAAGACAGTGGGGACCAGATCTCCTGTCTCTTCCCCCTTCGTCTTCTGGGGCTGAACCATGGGCTCCCTAGAAGCCTTCCTGAAGTGGAGAAGGGTGAGCAGTGAGGATGCCGGCGACGGGGGCACAGGAGGGCCTGGGGCTGACAGCAGTGTCCTGGAAGCCCTCAGCGTGGAGCCAGGAGATGCCGCCTCATCCTGTGGTGAGAGAGACCCTCACCTTCACGAGGGCCCTGAAGACACGCGCCCTCGCCGGCTGGGACAGGCTGGCTGCTCCAACCTCACAAGGAGTCGTGGGGAGCCCATTCCTGCAGGTTCCTAGAAGTGGATGCCCCACTTGGGTCAGCTAGCAACAGCTAGGGGTGACCTCACAGCCACACGAGGACGGGCTGCTGAGCACAAGCCAGGACCCCAGTGCACAGAGCACCGAGGGATCTCAGAAGGCTGCTTCAGGTCTGAAGACTGACGCCCCACACCCAGTTTCCAGCATCAAAGTCTCTTGTTCCCCACCCAGACGCGGGACCTCACAGCCTCTTTCAGAAATGTGGTTCACGCACGTGAGCAGCCCACAGGCTGCTGCGGCGAGCACGCAGGGGCCAAGCGAGACGGGTGTGTGGCGGGGTTGCAGTCAGAGTCCACCTGTCCCTGCAGCTTGGACCAGTCAAGAACTATGTGTTGAGCTCAACGAAATTGCAGTTGGCCACACACCAAGCCTGAAGGGGTAGTGTCAGGGGCGTCGGACCAGGCCCCAGACAGAGTTCCCAGGTCCTGTCCCTGCTCAGGGGCAGCTCTGGCAGGCTCCGGCCCTGCTGGGCTCCCCGCTGCTCTTTCCTGCACCTTGCAGGGCTGCTCCTGGCCTGGTCCTCTCCCACCTTTGTCCTGCAGGCTTTGTGTCCTCAGAGAAGCCCTCCCTGGGCTGCCTCAAAACTCCAGCCACCAACACACCAGGCCCAGCCCACAGCCCCTGCAGGGCCCTGGCAGATCCTGTCCCTGGGACTAGCTCCTTAATGCGTGCCATCCCTTCAATGGCAGCCTCTCTCTCTGGCTTGTGAGGGTCAAGCACAGGAACTGTGTCACTCTTTGTCAGTGGAGTGTCACACAGGGGCGTTTGCCAAACTGAATGACTTTGTTCCATTCACAGGCAGAGGGAGAAGCGCAGAGGAGGCTCCCAGCAGCCTGGACAGCCATGTTCCTGGGGCCTGAGTCCCTCGTGGACGAGCCCCACTAGGCTTTGTCTCCTGGGCTGGGCACGGAGTGGGCCTCCAGAGGGTCTGCACCAGTCACGGTGCGGCGGGTGGAATCTGAGAGTACCGACAGAGTGCTGGTGGCTTCTGAGCGGCCACTTCAGCGGAAAGGGGTGGCCAGGAGGGACAGCTGCTGGGGAACAGGCCGTGAGAGGGGGTGGGGAATGGAGGGACAGGGAAGTGGTTGGCAGATGGGCAAGGGACAAGAGAATGTTCTGGTCATGCCAGGGGAGGCCCTGGGGCTCTGGCAGAGCCGGAGAGGGTCCCAGCCATCTCAGGAGGGAGAGCTGCGGTGGACACAAGCAGTAGTGTGGGGAGGGGCCAGGGCAGCAGGGAGTGGGAGGAGGAGGAAGAGTAGAAAGGGCTCCCGAGGGAAAGGCAGGCAGCGGCCCATGGAGGGTCGCAATGAGGTTCAAGACGGGCGAGGGGGCTGTTCTGGCCCCGAGGGAGGGAGCACCCCACATCACAGCAGAGCCCACGTGGGGGCCCCAGGAAGGTCCTGCCCTCCTGGGGAGCGCCCAGGCATTCTGGAGGCTCCAGTGCAACTGTCCTCTTCCCATCCTGGTGGCCTCAGGCTCCCCAAGCTACCATCCTTCCTGTGCCCAGCCCAGGCTGGCAGCACTGTGCTGGAGTACCACAGAGCTCGGTGCCTGTCCCAGGCCTTGACCCTACCCAGGCAGAACTCAGTCCGGGTGTAATCGCTGGTCTCTAGTCAACTAGGTCCACACAGGGGCAGAGGAAACAGGGCTCTGAGGCCACCTCCAGTGTGAACGCATGTGTCCCTGCAGATGCCAGGTGGCCCCAGTATCGTGCCAGGCACTGCTGCCTGACCAGGAGGACCCCAGGGAACTCAGGGGATGGGGACACCCTCCCGGGTGTCACAGGTGAGGGGTCCTCGCAGCCTCCTAAGCCTTCCCGGCTTGTGTGTCCAGAGCAGGAGGGGCAGACCAAAGCCCTGGGGCCCTCCTGCCCCATATTCGAGGGCTCCAGGGCGCTGGCCCTCAGGGGCGCAGCGGCAGCACAGGGCGCCTGGCCCCAGGGTCGCAGGGCCCTCCCAAGAGCACGGCGACCACAAGGACCCACCGCGACCTCCTCTGTCCAGGTGGGGGCTCCACACGCGGGAGCGGCGGTGGCCGGAACCGAAGGAGAGCGACCCCAACCCGCAACCCCCAACCAGGCGCGGATCTGACTCCCCCACAACCCCCGTGGGTGCAGGAGGGTCAGAGGCTCCCGGTCTCGGCCAGGTCCAGAGGCCTCCCCCCGCCCAGGGCGCCGGGTCTCAGACTCACCGCCGAGCTCACTCCGCATGCCAATGGTGCCGCCGGTGTAGACGGCCAGCAGCCTCCGCTCGGACCCCACCGCGCGCGCCATGCCGGACGAGGGACCACGGGAGTGGACGGGGGGTGCAGCGGGGACGCGGGGCCTGCGGGACTCAGGGACTGCCGGGAGGAGGCCCGGGGCGCCGGGGGCAGCCTGGGAGGGCGGGGCCGGCGGGGGCACCCACGGGGAGGGGGCGGGAGTGGAGTCCGCCCGGGAGGATGGGAGGCCCCGCAGAAGCGGGCGGGGACAGGACGGAGGGACGGGGTGGGCCCAGGGGACTGTCCAGGGTCGGAGAGGAGGGGGGAGGCGGGGTGGGGGCGGGGCCTGGCGGGGTGGGGGCGGGGCCTAGCGGGGTAGGGGGCAGGCACGGCCTTAGAAACATGTAGGAAGAGGTGAGGTCTGTGAGGGTGGCAGGGTAGCTCCTGCCTGAGCAAGGGATTGGGTGGGACCCGCTGGGGGGTGGGGAGCGTCTGTCCAGGGACCAGGGGGCAGCTAGAAAGGCAGGGACAGGGGCGGGGCGGGTCCTGAGCCACCCCGCGGCCACTGGCCCTCTGTGGTGGCCCTGGGTGTTTGAGTAGCTGTGACATGTGGTGCCTCGCAGACCGTAGTGCCCAAGGCCCTCCAAGACCTGAGCACAGTGGGGGCTCCGTGTCCTCTCAAGCAGCCTCCACAGCCCCGGTGCTCCAAGGCGGCATTGCTGCCCAGGCCCTGCTGTCCCTCCACTGGGTGGCTAGGGGCAGGCAGAGCTGGACCAGCCCCTCCACATGTGCACGTTCACACACCATCCAGAGGAGCCCCCAGGGCTGGAGCCGGACCGGCAGGAGTATCGCCGTCTTGGACAAACACCGCCATTTTAAGTTTCCTTTGATTAAAAAACTGCCTAAATCCAACCCAAAACACCTCAGCCTAATAGCTAATGTCAGTACAACCATAAACCACAAGTAACATCTCCAACCAGAAACATGCCAGCCTCGAGATAACCTCCCCTCGGACCGGAGACATTCCAACCCCGCAATAAACTTTCCCTCACATAGAAACATTCCAAGCCTGCGATAAGCTCCCAGCTTCCTAAACCCTTAAAGATCCTTAGTCTGTAAGAGAGAACGCTCCTGACCAAAATCGGCCAGAATAAACCCTCTGCCGGTCTTTGACTGTTGAGCCACTTTTCATGTTTCTTTCCTCTTTAAATCCTACAAAGTCCACCCCACTTCACTCCCGTGAGAGCCCAGGAGGGCAGGGCAGTGGCGGGTACAGGGTCCCAGGAGGGTCCCAAGCTGCAGGCTTGCTCCCAGGTGGACAGAAGATCCACGGCCTCCTCACCTCCTGGCACCTTGACTGCCTGGGGCACTGATGCCCTTTGGTGGGAAACTGTGCCCTCAGAAGGCGCCAGCACTTGACAGATTCCATAATAAAAATTATTATTATTATTCTGTTACCTGGAGTGCAATAGTAAGATTTTGGCTCACTGCAATCTCTGCTTCCCAGGTTCAAGCAATTCTCCTGTCTCAGTTCCCCAAATAGCTGGGATTGCAGGGTGTGCACCACCATGCCCGGCTTTTTTTTTTTTTTTTTTTTTTTTTTTGGTATTTTTAGTAGACACGGGGTTTAACCATGTCGGCCAGGCTGGTCTTGAACTCCTGACCTCAGGCGCTCCACCTGCCTCGGCCTCCCTAAGTGTTGGGATTACAGGTGTGAGCCACGGCGCCCAGTCCCATAGAACTATTTTGGTAGCAATAGTGCAAAATTAATCTTGTCTGCAGAGAAGCAAATGCATTCTGCCCAGCAAGAGTCTGTGTTAGTTTTCTGGGACTGCAGTAACAAAATGAGTGATTTACAGTGCAAGGAGGTCTACTTCTCACAGTTCTGGGGGGTGGAAGTCTAAGGTCAGGGTGTCACGGGTTGGTGTTTCCTGCGACCTGTCTCCTGGGCGAGCAGACGGTGCCTTCTTGCTGTGCCTCACAGGGTCTTTCCCCTGTGCAGTCACGCCTCCCTGATGATCTCCAGATGTCCAGACTTTCTCTTTTTATAGACATACCAGTCATATTGAACTTGGGGCCTCATTTTAATTCAACCATCTCTTTAAAGTCTACCTCCAAATACAGTTGCATTCTAAGACATTGGGGTGTGGGGGACTTCAACATTTGAATCTAAGGGAGACAATCCAGCCCATCACAGCCCCCTGAAAATCCAGTTTCGCGTTCGTTGGCACATTCATGTCAAAATTCCTCATCTGTAAGTGTCAGTTTCAGGACTTCTCCTCTGAGCTGGTCCTCACAGCTGCCTGGGCTAGGGAAGCACTTCGACGCGTGCTCACCCTGCATCCCTGTGAACATCACGTCTGGCCCTTTTGGGGAATCATCCTTTAACAACCTGCCTGCCGCCATAAATTCTAGGAAACCTTGTTTGGGGCCAGGGCAGCCTTCACTGGCAATAATCCTCACTGGAGTGGCTTTTCTCCCAGGTGCCAGGAGCCCGTCAGGTTTCTGCTGTGGAAACCTCGAAAGCACCAGAGCTCGATGCTGCAGCTTCACCTGAAGACACTGCTGGTCTTTGGACAGCTCCGCTGTCCTGCTTCGTTTTTGCCTGCGTCCACCTACATCTACAGCGTCCTTGGACGGAACCTTTCACGCAATATAGAAAGCTGGCTCTGTGTCAGGTGCCTTTGTAGGCACGGGGGAGGCAGCCCCTGTCCTCCTGAGTGTACCAGCCAGGGTGGGGGCCATAGTAGACAAAAATACCAGCATCTGGCAGTGACAGTGCCCTGAGGAACACTCAGGGAACAGAGAGACAGGCAGTGCTGTTTACAACAGGGTGATCACGGAAGGCCTCTTCGAAGGGTTGGCATTGGAGCAAAGCCAGCATGCCAGGCGGGGACAGGTGCCGAGGCCCGAGGCGGGAGCGAGCATGGCCCCACAATGCCCAGGTCAGTGGGGCGAGAGCACTCAGAGGGAGGGGACACCCACTGAGTGACTGTGGTGCCAGGTGAGGACTTGCAATTTAACTCCAAAGGTGAACACCAGCCCCACCAAGGGTTGGGCTAGTTTGTTTATTCTCTGGCTGCTGTGTGCAGAGAGACTGAGACAAGAATAGGATCAGGAGGGCTTTGGGCAGGGTGGGGGAAGAGCTGGGGATGGGGAAGTGCGAGGTGGGAGTGCTGGGAGCACAGGTTGGATCTTGGGAGGTACCAGCCGAAGAGAAGAGGAAGGGTGACTCTCCTGTCTTTGGCCAGAGCAGCCACAGAATGGGGATGTCCTTACTGAGAAAGCAGGGGCTGGAGTGGGGCTTGAGGCCGGGCAGAGGGAAGCAAGGTGTATTGGACGCATCCTGCTTGGGGGCCACCTGGGCAGGTTCGAGGAGACTCGGCTGCGCGTCCTGCAGTCAGCGGCACAGGGATGACAAGGTCACGACAGCAGCGAGGTGTCAGCAGAGACAAAGGCCCCAGTCTGAGCCTGGACATTCCAGCCTCAAAAGCCAGGAGGAGAGAACCCAGGACCGCGAGGGGAGAAGGCCAGGAAGCGATCTGCACGTGAAGTCCCACGGCGTGGTGAGGGGAAGCCAGAAGCTGGCCGTGTGTGGAGCAAGGTGGAGGCTGCTGCGGCCTCACCCCAGCTGAGTGGCGTGGACGGGCAGACGTCTGTCCCCCTGGAGGGACACTTGGCCATCGCTGTGCTGCCTGCTGCTGAAGGAAGTGCTCTCCACCAGGGGCTGGGTTAGGAAGGAGCAGGATGTGCCGGTCGCTCCCTGGCTCCTGGCCCCCTGGCTCCCCAGGTGGTGTAGTCCCAGGAGGTGAGTCCAGGGAACCTGGGCAGCCCCAGCCAAGTCCCCAGGTTCTGCCCACCCCTCCTTTATTTCTGATTGTTCAGAAAAATGTTTCCTTGGCCACCCAGGTCTCTCCTCATCCCTCTTCTCTCTCACTTCCCGTCTACACCCTCCCCAGTGGCCCTCCTTCCACACAGCGCAGGAGAGTTCTCGGTGGGACCCTCCCAGAGTGTTTATAAAATCCACTCCAGCCCCACCCAGAGCTCACTGCGTGGAAGGGCATCTGCCATTTGACAGTGCCCAGTGGTTCAGACCACCCTACAGCCCTGCCTACCTTTTCTGCACCTCTTCTTCTAGAGCAAGGTGCTCAGAGCGTGGCCTCTGCTCCAGCAGCAGCACCTGGAACCTGTGACAATGCAAAGCCCAGGCCCCTGACAGCGACTCTGGGTGGGGCCCAGGAGTCCACACTCTGACCCTACTCTGGGTGATGCTGATACAGGTGCACAGTTGGGAACCACTGGTCTAGAACAAAGGGCGGCAAACCAGGGCTCGACGGCCAGGCCTGGTGCACCTGTGTGTGTAAACACAGTTTTCTTGGAACAGCCACACCCACTCACTTATGTATTGTGTTGGGGAGGTGCCGGGGGCAGGTGCCCGTGGCCGTGCCATGGCTGGCTTTCCAGAGGCAGAGGGGCAGAAGGAAGCACCTGGGTGCCGAGTAAGGGGCCGCAGGAATGCCTCACATACTCCTGTCTGTCCTTGGCCACTCACTGGGGCAGATCTTGGTCCGGGGTGGTCACCTCCACCCTGAGGCTGGGGGACCTCAGGTCGCAAGCTCTGCTCTTCCAGTCCCCAGCTCCACACAAACAAGCCAAGACTCCTGGAGACGAGGCACAGTGCTGAGGCTGCTGGTAAGGTACACAGTGCCCCCCTGGGTTCTGGCCGTGGCAGCGGGCCTGGAAAGGGAGTCCCTGGGAGGCCGCACTTCTTCAGCTACTCAGGCTTTGTCTGTTGCCCTACACTGTGAGTCTTCATGGTACTGCCTTTGGTCCAGGCACTGTTGCAGCCACCCTGCAAATCCAGGCACACTTCACCCCTGTAACCACACTGAGGCAGAGGATGATAATCCTATTTGGTGAGTGAGGGGACTGAGGCACACAGCGGGTCCCATGGCAGGTGAGCGCTGCACTGGGCTTGTGGACACTATGGGGGTTCCTGACACTGTGTTGAAGTAGGGGCTGGCCTGGCCTGGTCCAGTGGGCTGGAGGGGAACAGAGGTGTGTGGGGACCCCAAAGAGAGGAAGCCTAAGGAACTTTCCGATGGGCGAAGGAGTCTTGGGGCCTGGGCAGGGCACTGCGGAGAGCTGGGGCA